AAAAAACAATCTTTCACCTTCCTTTAAAAAGATATCAGAGATGAATAAGACATATGGTTTTCTCCGTATATAAATCCAGGGACATCATGTGGAAAGTTCTGCTTCCAGTAGATTATACTGTACTTCCCTAGAAGAAGAAACAAAGAGCAGAATCTCAGCAGCAGCTCACTGGGAGGAAGGGGTGTTACACAGGAGAGAGCACTCACTGAGATAAGTGGGGTACAGAACATGCAAGACTTCAAAGTTCAAAGCATCTTGAATTGAGCCTGGAAACAATCTTGTAATCGGGACTGATGTTTCTGAACATGTATAATATAGTCATCCTATGTGTGGTAGCATCCTATTTAAGACATAGTTTTTGAATCATTTTCAAGGACGGAGTCACATAATCACTGCAGAAGTCTAGGCATGAATGACAGTAGCAAGGTCTCCATCTTTCAGTCATGAGAGAATCAAAGGGAACTCATGGTTACAGCTGTGACCTTAAGAGTATAGGAGCAATGGCTGGATCCAGGAGCAATTCCAAGATATGAACCTGCCTGTTTAGGGAAAAGGTGCATAATAGAAGACATTCCTCCAACCTGCTGGCTCGGTTGGATCTTTTCTTTTGAGAGCTTTAGTGAGCCTCATCAGTATACCACTGCTATCATATACTATTTAAGGAAGCAACTGCCTCAACTAGAAGCATATGAAAAGCAGAAATTGTTTCCTCCACAAAATCATGCAGCTGTCTAATAATATGGGGAATATGATAGAACTTGTGGAGGTTCATGGGACAATTTCCATGGGGAGAAAACTATTCTATCATACCACTATCTGAAATCTGCTGCCCAGGAAAAATCTGCAAAGTAATACCTTCAACTCCTTCAACCCAGATAGATGGTCAAAAAGGGTATCATGCTTGATGATAGTGAAAACTAACAAGAAGTCTAGAAAAATCAGTGCCACTCTCGTGCATACAGCATGCTGCTCTAGCACAGAGCTACACCAGCATTCCTGGTGTAGATCATCAAGCAGTGCATCCTAGGCAATTTCTGCCTCAAAACTAAGCTGAAAATGAGAGTGCATTTACTTATGTAACTAGCCACCTCCAAAAATACCTGGAGTTATCTGGAGCTCAAGCACCTTGTTCAGATATGGAAAATGGGAGACTGTTCTATACTTGTCATGGTTTGTAGGGTCCAAAGTTTTGTTTTTTCAGTTGAGACTAACTTTTATGTACTTGAGTAAGAATGACGGTGTAGCTTCGGTACAAAAATGGTCATAGTCCTTATTTAAAACAGCCACTGATAAACAGGAACAAGACTACCCTCTCCCTCTCATTGGTAATATTTTTCCATTTAATGACTAAAAAGAAACAATATTTTCTGAATTCTTCTTTGCCCTCTCTCAGAGCTGTTGGAGAAGCTTCCTCAGGTAGATTTTACTACCCTGCTTTTGGTAGCAAAAGTTAAACTAAGAATACCACTCACTTCCCTGCCCACCCACTCTTATGTCTTCAGGCAGAGTAGATCACGACATTCTGGGTGTAGTCTGAGAGCCCGTGGAGTAGCTGTCTGGTTTGGCTCTTCAGGCTGGTCCCACCCTCCACGTGTCTTGGGACACGTGTAGCACTCTCCCTCTAGCTGCAGATGACAGTTTGGGATTACTTAGACACCTTTTGGGGGCCAGGTAGGATTTTTTTAAAGTTTCCCTGATTGGCCACTAGGACACCTTCTTCACCAAGGTTTGGGATTAATGTGATCTCCTGATAGATATGTATTTATTTTAGAGCAGTCTTGGTTGGAGTATTGACACTGAGAAAGTGAATCTAAAATGTCTCCCAAACTACTTATAGATAATGGGGTAGAGTGGGGAGTATACACTCTTGGTCCCTTTTTCCATTGTAGATCTAATGGCAACTTCAGGGGGGAGATTTCCCATGTTGCATATATTTTGGAACTGAAAGAGAAAAAACCCCCAAATATGGGACCTTTTTTACTTGCTTTTTCTTTATTTCAGGATAGGTAATCATGTAAAACAGTGATGGTCAATGATGATGTTAATTCTTGCTCACAGTCTAGTGTTCTGCAGCATCTGTTTCAGCCAGGAGCCCTGATGGTCAGCTGACAGTCCAACTTAAAAGTGGTGGTTCCTTTTGTCTTTCCAAAGTCACCTTTGGACATCTCTCTCAGTTCCTCATCCTGCCACCATTTCCCCTTCATGCCTCCCTGCGCTCTAGCGTGAGAAATTAACTCAGAGGCCTGGTGTAGTGCATGATCTGATCTGCATGCTTTGTATTTTATTATAGCACATAGTTTGCTTGCCGGGTGGGAACAGGTGTGTCTCCTGGCTTTTTGCAGCATATGAAGCAGCACTTCTTTTCTACCTAGCCATTTGTGTGAAATTAGAAATTTTGTTTGTAATATCACTAACCTCTGAAGTGAAAACTGTATTGGAATGTGTCCATCCCATTTCCCAGCTGGGGGACATTTTGGGGGCTCCAATACTTATTTAGAATTCAGTTTCTGTAGAGACATGGGCAGTTTGGAAATATAAGGTATCTTTACCAATCTATAAAAGATGTGAATAAGATTGGGGTTCATAGCATTAAGATTCCAACAAATTCCTGTTTCTGTGCAATATCTGAGGCCATAGTACCACAGAATTTCCTATAGAGACCAAAGTCATTCATCTGCTTCTTTTTCAGATCTAGTTCCAATACCAATCGACTTCTTGCTGCATGCTCATTCACCCACCCACACTTATCTACTGAGGGAAAGGCACTTGAGTGATTTCCGCCTATCATGTATGCTTTCTTGAGCTATCCTATCTCCTTCTGCACCACTTTACCAGAATGTTATCAGTTACCAACTGCTAGTTGGTCTTTCGGGATCTTAAGAGGCTTTGGCTTGTAGCCAGTGTTCAGGCTAAAAGTTCTGAGTAAATATACTTGTAATTAATGCACTCTTTGCTACACTGACATATTGCTGCAACAAGGTTTTCTGCTGCTCTGATAGTTCGTGTAGCAAGAAATCCCTATTTACTACCTAATGTTTACTCAACAGAGAAACATAGTCAATTCTTTTGACAAGTTTATTTCTGTGATACGTGAGTTTTCAAGCGCCTGTTTTTCATAATTGCACCTTAACAACTTTTAAAGTATACACTTAAAAAACAGAAGGTGTGAAATATAATAAAACATACACAAGTAGAAATGAGGCATTATTTGAATAAACTAGGAACATTATTGTTAGGACTGTTGTTCACACCTTTAAAATAAATGTTGTAAAGACAAAAGTTTTGCTTATCAGAGTTTTTCATACACGGGGTAGGAAAAATTGTCTACACATTTATGTAAGGAAGTTGTGCAACTGTATGTTTTGTCCTGTTTCTACATTGAATGCTGCCTTGCTTTTTGTTAAATCTCATAAGAATCTCATAATTTACTCTATCTAGAGATCACGGTTTTCTTTTTAAAATGCCACCTTGGGGTGTTCCAGAAGACAGTGTTTTATATGGCAGATTTTTTTTTTTTTTGTCTGAAATCTTTCCTGTCAGTCAGCTAAGCTATTATGAAAGACATATTTTTCTGTTGTGCATTCTATGTGTACAGTATTTAAAGATCTCGCCTCTAGGTTTAGAAGCATTATTCATGGAAATAGCATGGTTATTGCCTTCAAGCTTGGCTTTGAGGTTCCTGGAAGTATCAGGTTGGTCACCATAGGAACATGCTTGGTTAGTTTTATGAATGACTAACACAATTTAGGGTGCAATCCTATGGTTTGCACTTTAATGCTCACAAGCCCTGGAACTGGAGGCTTAGAAGCATCATGTGTGGAGTGGAGGAAGTAGCAGAGGTGATTTCAGCCTCATTGATTCTCCTGCTCAACATTTTACCTAGTTGTAGCCTGCCCTCTGCAGTCTCTCCCCCACCGCCAGAATACTTGCTTTATCAGCTATCTGAGTTTGAGTTTCTGCTCAGTGAGGCTGCCAGCATGTTCTTTTTGTGCTAGCTTGGAGTTGCAGGGTGGTGGTGTTGATTTCCAGGTCTGAGGTTTCAAAGTGTTATGTCTGATCTCAGATTTAGGAACCTTATGAACCCCCAGACAAAGTCTAGGGACTGTATGAGCACACTTTTACTCAATTTCATTTATTGCATGTTAATGCCAAAATTGTATATGGTGAAAATTATTCTTCAGACAGGTAGACTGTGATCCTAAGCTCACTTACTAAGGAATTGGTCTCATTGAACACACTGGTCCAGTCTGGCATGGTTTGGACATCAATGTGGCCCAGATTTGATGAGAATCCTAGCTTATAATGAATGGGCAAGCATGTTGGTGCATGTTGCTTAATCACTTCTGCTTTACCCTGCATGCCAACTGGAGTGATGAAACAAATCATGGAATTTTGATTTGTTCATTATTACATCTTAACTAGGTTTTGTGGCTTGTTCTTATAGCAAACCATGAATGAGTCAAGAACAAACTCTGTGGCTTGTTGGGAGTTGGAAAACTATAAATCCAACTTTGGCTATAACAGTAAATGTACCATGGACAGAGGTTCCTTGGTTTGTTCAGTTGCTTTCATTGAGTGAAAAATCTGGGTAGCAGCAACTGAGCAGCATGTATCAGCACCTTGCTCATTCATGATAAGATGGAATTTTCAGCAGTTCTGGTTTCTGATGTTTGAACTTTTGAGTAAGCCTGTTTAGGAGTGTACAGTTAGAAACTAGTTGTTTTTAATACTGTACATAGAAGGACTGGTGTCTGTAATTTTGTCATATATTATTAAACACATTGTTGAAACTTCTGGCTTAAATTACTTTTCTATATATTTTTGGTTAAAATGCTTAAAACTGTAATTAAAATATCTTTAATGGATTTAATTTTAGAAGGTGATATATGTAGAGCTATTTCTGGAAAAGTAGCCCTATATTTGGCATATATATCATATGAAATTGTTCTTATCTTCCTTCTTTTAATAAACTAATACACATCTTCCCATATCATATGTAGGTAATGTGGGTATGTAACTCGTGCCGAAAACAACAAGAAATCCTCACAAAATCCGGAGCCTGGTTTTATAATAGTGGAACAAATACACCACAAAGGTCTGAACAAGACGTTTTTAGAGGACTACAGAACGAAGAAGCACCTCAAGAGAAAAAGGCAAAGCTGCAAGAACAATCAATATCATCACTGGAACGAGGTAGATCACAAGGGCTCACAAGGCAGGACTCCATAAACGGCTCAGGAGGAAAAGTGGCAGGTGACACAGTAGACAGGTAAGGAGCTGGCTCATTTGCCATGTAACTTAGACCATTTGTTTTTAGTAGGTCCTTTAGCCAATAAGAATCTAAAGTTGCATTTGCTTATTTTCAGAACTATGGACATTCTGTTACATTCCATGTTGTTATTTCATTACATGCCATTTATATTGTGATGATGCTGTTAAGAGAAAGTACATCTATATTATAAATTAGAAAGGACTCTCATTTGTCTCTGTAGAATGGATAGGGCAAAAAGGGCAAAATCCAACAGTGTCATTATACAAACTCAAATAACACTACCAGAGCTTTCTGTTGGGCAGCTGAATGTCAATTACACTAATTCCACCCTTTGTGTAACTGATTGTTCACAGAACCAGTTGAATAAATGTAATGTAGAAGAGGGTTGCTCAGCTGTAATACATAACCAGTTGGTTGTACAATGGTTTGCACAAGCGTAATTGATTGTACACTGGGCTGCATGAACAATGCACAACTGGTTGCACAATGGGGTGAGCAGCCAATTGCACTTGGGTTAATGTAAGGGACTTCTCTTCTCATGCATAGTTTGGAACATACTGTCTACCAGGGCAATGTCATTTGCACTAGTGGAATAGCACAGCAACATTTTTTCCTATATCATTAAGTTAGCAACACAAATTAGATGAAAGTTACTAGTAAATATGGCAGAAACACATAACTTGAATTTCCTGTAGTCCAAATTGTCAGATTCATCCCCTCTCTCAATCTCTTTCTCTTGGTCATATTTGTATTACACACACACACATGCATGAGCACACACATGCATATAGGTGTATATATACTCATACAGAGAGTTATTATGTAAGTCTGAGGGCCATGTTAAATATATATTAACAGATGAAAGTTCATTTTGATTTTTACAAATTGCTAACTAGTAAAGTTTCTTTACTTATTCTGCAGTGGTATTCTGAAATTAATATTTCTATACCGAAAACATCCCTTAGCCATAAAAATACTCACTTATGAATCTATCAATCATACATGTTTGAAACATAATGAATTTAAGTCTGGTGCTTGTTGGTGCTGCAACAGTAACATTCACCAGAAATGACTTGTAGCACAATTATGAAAATATTCACTTCTAAATTAGTCCCATAATTTCAGTGTGACTTACTCGCTACACATTTGTGGAATTGTTGCTGTTACGTGCTGACTTATGGCAACCCTATCAATGAAAGCCCTCCAAAATGCCCTATTCATAAGAGCACTGCTCAGCTGTGGTAAACCCCAAGTCTTCCTTTATGGAGTCAATCCATTTCATATTTGGTCTTCCTTTTCTTTTTCTGTTTTCCCAAGCATGATTGTCTTCTCCAGACAATTTTGCCTTCTCAGGATGTGCCTGGGTTTTGTGTTTGTGTTTTGTGTATGACAGCCTCAGTTTTGTGTTTTTAGCTTCCAGGGATAGCTCTAGATTGATTTGATCTGGGATCCACTTGTTTGTCTTTCTGTTAGTCCAGGGAATTCACAAACCTCTCCTCCAGCACCCTTTTCTGAACACATCAATTTTCTTTCTGTCATCTTTCTTCACTGTCCAGCTTTCACACCCATGGGTTGTGATTCGGAATACAATGGTGTACTGTAGTGTATATTGAACATTTTCATTCTGTGGGCCATTGTTTTATTTTCCATACTTATTCTTTTTCGGATTTGGATTGATCCAGTCTTTAAAGCTTGTAATAGTTCTGTTGGTATCTTGTCCATTTTGGGTGCTTTATTCCTTCCAAGTGCTTTCAGAGCAGCTTTCACTTACATTCTAATATTGTAGGTGCTTCCTCATAGGATCCCTCTTTGAAAGAATTTGTCATCGTTTCATCTCCTCTGTATAGTTGTTCCACCTTCTCTTTATTTTCTCCTGGTCAGATAGTGTGACCCTTTGTTAGCATTCCTAAACTAAGTTTGAATTTCCCCTTGATGTCTTGGATCTCTTTTTTGCTTCTTTTTTTATTGTCCCCCCGCTTTTTTTTTTCCACTGATCATTGTAGTAGTTCTTTTTAACTCTATGTGATAGTCACTGAAAGGATGCATTCAGGGTTCTGACCCTATTTCTGTCACCATTTGCTTTTCATCTGTCCTTCTTCTGGCATCCATTGAGGCTTTTTCTTTCTTTTTGCTATAGAAATTGCCTTCTTGCATTCTTCCCTAATAAGTCTTTGGTTTCAGTCCACAGTTCTTCTGGCTTATGGTCTGTAAAATTGAGTAATGCAAATCTGTTCCTTGTGTGGACTTTGAAGTTATACTTTGGCACTATGGTTCTGTTAGGGTAGTTTTTTTCCTTACTCTGATTTTTAAGATTATGAGTTCATGGTCAACTACCACAATTTGCTCCTGGTCTTGTTTTGGCAGTGAGAATAGAAATTATCAATTTTCTGCTTTCAACTGCACCATCAAATTTGATTTCTGTTGTGGCCATTTGGTGAGGTCCATGTTTACAGTAATCTGGTTGGTTGGGTGGATGAAGTTTGCATTTGCAATTAACAGATTGTTGGCTCCATAAAATTCTATGAGCTGTTCTCCTGCTTTGTTTCTTACTCCTGGTCCAAATTTTCCTACAGCCTTTGGTTCTTTTGTTGCTACTTTTGCATTCCAGTCACCTAGGATTATTAGTGTGTCTGTTTTTGCAATGTTATGAATTTCCTTTTGAACACCTGTATAAAAGTTTTGGATTTCTTCTTCTTCAGAATCTGCTGTTGGAGCATAGGCTTAATCCTTGGTTATGCTGACAGGTTTTTATACAAATTCTGACTGATATTATTCATTTTGCATTATAGCTTCTTATTGCCTGTGCTAAATTTACTTTAGTCTTAGAGCTGCTTTGTTTCCACTGAGTTTGTCATTTCCAGAGTAAAGTAGTTCATGTTTGCTTGACTGCCCAGAAGATGCCTTCCAGAATTTTCTCTCCACCCACGACCATTAGAAATATCAATTCTCCTCTGCTGATGTGTGACCATTACGCCTGAAGAGGGTGGATACATCTAGTCTCTGCTTCAACCATTCCTCCTGACCCTGCCAGAAGACCAAAATAGTAAGAGAGTCTGTGGCTTCTTGCACACTCTCAATCCCTCTCTCCATTAAGGTGTGCATTGAAAAGGGGTATTTGTAGAATGGACAAGTGCAAAGAGTCTGCTGCATTTTTAATTGTGGTATAGAGAGGATTGCTTTTCATGCAACCTACACCTGCTGAGATTTCCTTTTGTACACTGCTATTAAAGGAGAAGAAACTTAGTCCTCTCTTGCATCCAACCACTCTAAGTGTGTGTAGGTTTGTGACTTAACACTGTACTCCTATATGTGTCTACTTTGAAGTAATATTCATTTACCATATGGGTTTTATTCCTAGGTATGTGGCTACAGAATTACAACCTAAGTCTGGGATCCTGTATGTTCTTGCTGGGGAATAAACCCCACTGAACTCACTTTTGTTTGGTCATGTATAGTAGACTTATTTGTATATCTGTATAGCATTGCACTGAAAGATTCTTTATAACTGAAGCTTATATTCTTGGTGTTTTCATAAGAATCTTAAAGTCATTTAAACCATCACTGGGAATTTATTTCTTTATTTTTTCATTACTGTACTGTCTAATAGCCAAAGCAAAATCTAGTTTATATGTTAATGCTGAATATTCCTTTTAATTTAGATTAAATTAAATGGTTATCTTTAAAATAATGTTAGCAATTCTAATCTTTGAAATCTTGATTTACTATTACATTTAATTTTTACCCCTTTTAGCTGTGACTGTTCTGAATTAGATCTATTTGAAAAATGTAAGCAAGTTAAGTTTTGTTACTAGCATTAACCAAATCAAATTGCTTTTTAATTTCCTGCTCATTGTCCTTTGCTCTATTTTCAGTTGACAGGTCAAATACTGATTGGCTCCAAGTGTTCCTTAATTATATTCATTGTCTTGAGAGACACAAGACTGTGTATGACCACTGAACTCATTGTTAAAGAATATTCATTGCTCATTTTTCCTTTAATTATGTAGAGGAAATAGAATCTTGTGAGCTTTTATTGTTACAAAAGGGACAGTGGTGGTGTCGAGGGTATAGTTCCAAGTGCTTGGCTCGAGTGTTGAGTGACTGAGATGATAGAGCTGTTGTCAGGTGATACCCATAGTGCATTTCTTAGAACCTTCCTAGTCCTCCTGCAATATAGATTTCGGTGCACCTATGTAAAGACACCCAGTTATAAGGAAGATTAGAGTTGCAGCTTGATTCTACTGCATCACTTATGAAAGTAAAATGACCAGTTTGATTTTCACATTTAAAAATGGGTGAAAATTGTCTTAGATTGACAGCTCTGTATTCATAACCCCTTCTCTTACCAACTAGTATGTGTAGATACTTGATTATTTATTTGGAATTATTTATTTATTTTATTGATTTGGAATTTTTGTATGCCGTCCCATTCGCATAAGCCTCGGGACGGCTTCCAACATCATAAATAAATACTCATACAAATAGATATATATAAAATCTGGACACATCCTGGCTGAATAATTTAAAACCAATAAATAATGTCAACAACTATTAAAATATCTTTTAAATAAAAAGGTCTTGGTCTGGTGCTGAAAAACAAATAACGACGGTGCCAGGTGGACCTCTCTGGGGAGCACATTCCATAAGTGGGGCGCCACCACAGAGAAAGCCCTCCTCCGAGTACTCACCCTCCTAATATCTTTCACGAAGGGTTCCCGGAGGAGGGTCTCTGCCGCTGATCTCAAGGGGTGGGAGGGCAAATATGGAAGCATTATCCAATTATGCAGTCAATAAATAGTCAAGTAATTATCCCATTGACTATTTGAGAATGATTTTACAATATTTAAAAATATCCTTGACCGCTTTACAAACTTATCCAATAAAAAAGGGAAAACTTTATCCTGGAATCCTAAAACTGACCACAACAACCATCCTTCCTGCAATTTGAGGCATACGCAGTTCTGTGTGATGAATTCTGCCATGTGTAAATATTGTGC